AGATAGATAGATAGATAGATAGATAGATAGATAGATAGATAGATAGATAGACAGATAGATAGAATAGACAGATATGCAGACAAATAACTTTCAGAGAAGGCCGGATAAACACAAGCTAGGCTTTCCTTACTTCAATCTAATCAACAATCTCAATCCTTGCCTCCTTATTAATCTTTAATAAGATTTCTGTTGTGAGTGAATCTCACAGTTGCTTTTTATAATAACTCTGGTGCAGGGGTCTCCAACCTTGGCAACTTTAAAACTTGTGGACTTCAACTCCCAGCAAAGCTGGCTGAGGAACTCTGGGAGTTGAAGTTCACAAGTCTTAAAGTTGCCACGGTTGGAGTCCCTTGCTGTGGAGACCTTGGTGCTCTCTGAGCTTGGTTGTTTGCTTACAGATGTTTCATTACCTAACTAGGTAGCTTCATCAGTGCAAGTGAGTATGGAATTGCTGTTTCATATACAGTAGCTTGATCTGTCAGTTTTGGAGAGGTATGGTTTTCTCCTGGATGGTTTCTTGCCTGTTTTAGTTTGTTTTATTGTTTATTTATTGTTTTATTGTTTATTGTTTTCGTTTTTATACTAATTTTGCATATATGTTTACACATCAGGATTCAGTTTCTGTATTTTATTCTTTTTTAGCACATCCTTTTCCAATGCATTGAAGAAAGACTCCTCTGTTTTAAAAGTTGGTAAACCTCAAGGAAAGAATGGACCGGTGCCATCACCTCAGCCAAAATTCCTCACCCAGCATTCCCTACACGAGCAGGGAAACAGTAGAGATTGGTCTCAGGATGTACAGAATCACACAGCCAATGGCATAATAGCACAGAATCAGTGGGACTGCCAAGACAAGTGGTCTGCCCACCGTGCCTGCAGGAGCATTCAAAATGACTGTGATGCAGGGGATAGCAGTTTGGTAAATGGAGAAAGAGGAAATACTACTACAGACTCATTGCCAACCACAGCAGCTTGCAAGGGGCAGAAGATCAAGAGCCATCACTGGGCTCCGGGTGCAAATTCATTCCCATCTGTAAAAGAAGCTGGAGAGATGATTGCCACTAGGGAAGAGAAGCGGGGTGAGCCAAGCAGTCAGCGAGACTCTAGCACAGAGACAAAGGTAAGAGGTCTGGCTTATGCAGAACAGTGATTTACACACACGAGTAAAAATAACAACATTTTGTAAAAAAGTTTCTGATTGTCACAAGAACTGTTTTGGTACAGGTTTGGCACATATTCTTAGACTTGTAGAAATTTGATATGACTTTTTATTAGATTGCATTAGATTGAAGAGCTTTTTGAAATGGGAAGACTTTCCTTTACCGATAATCATTTTCTACCAGCCATTTGTTCAAAGTTCAAATTTGTAGTGATGCTGAAAAAAAGAGACTTACAATTGGTTTTTGAAGTGGTATCCGGCAGTCACATGATTCTGATTCGAGCACTTGACAATTTATGATAGTCGCAGCCTCCCATGGTTTATTATTTTATTTTATATTTTGTTTTATTATTTTATTTTATATTTTGTTTTATTATTTTATTTTATATTTTGTTTTATTATTTTATTTTATATTATATTTTATTATTTTATTTTATATT